GATAGCCTAAGGAATTACAGCTCTTATTGATGAGACAAGATTCCCTTGGTGGCTTCAAAAGGCGCCTAGCCTGGCGTTCTCTCATTTGCAACTGTATTTGCATTTCATCAGTTAAAAGGCACAGTTGATTAATCATCTGAAATTAATATGCATTTACACGTTTCCTTCCCTTGTTGCCCTTATCACTGGCTGTCTTCTCTTCCTCTGTCGAAATTTCAATTATAAGGTTTTCAAGACGGGGCCCTGAATCAGTCGACAGCCCCAGCTGCCAGGGAAATTGACCCAATAGCAAAATGAAAAAGGTGGTATTCTGACTGACTGCTGGGTCCTCTTAAGAGGCTCTGATCCACTCATGGATCCAAATTTAGGACCCTCCAGCACCTGGTTCACACAGGGTTGCCAGCCGCCAGGTAGGGCCTGGAGATCTCTTGGAATTAAGACTGATGTCCAGGCAACAGAGAGCAGTTCCCCTAAAGAAAATGGCTTCTTTGGAGAGTAGACATTATGGCATTATACCCCACTGAGATCCCTCCCCTCCCCAAATCCTTCCCCAGGCTCCACCCCCCAAAATCTCCATGTATTTCCCAACCTAGACCTGGCAACCCTAGGTGCACATTAAATGAAGAAAACACACCAAGCCCCACTCTTCTCAAACCCCAGAGAACCCCACATACCTGCAATGTCCTGCAACTTTTTTCCTCTGGAAACTAAATTAGCCATCCCATTTTCTACTTGGTGCTAGGAGTGACATCACAGGGAAGTTGCTACCTCACCTGTTACCAGGTAACCATGAAATACCCTGGTATGTGTGAGATGCTGATGATGGCCCCATTCAACTCCATCAGCACGAGGAACCGAACACCGGATCATAATCTCTCTCAAGTCTTTCGTCCACAGAGACAAGAAAGGGGGAAGGGGGCCATTTTGATTTGCTCGGCAAGGTGGTCGCTGTGCTGCTAAACAGCCAGGCATTTGGATACCTGAATAGCTGACCCCCACTGTTGCTCATCCTTTCTGGTTTTGGTGAAAGGGTGTGTGTAAAGCAGCACACCAGCGTGATGTTGAACTTAGCATGCCCCAGTTCAAATCCCCACTCTGCCAGGGAAGCTCTCTGGATGACTTTGGACCAGTCTCTCACCTCACCTTTGGGCCAGTCTCTTACCTCACAGCGTTGTTGTGGTGAGAAAATAATGGAGGCGGGGAGAACCATGTTATAAACTCCACTGGGGAGGAAAGTGGCGTCTACATATCCAAATAAATAAATATGCTGTTCCTTCAGATTTATGAAAAGCGGACCATTTTTAAAGCAGTTGTGACTGTGGGAGCCAGTGTGTGAGGGAGTCCATTTCAAAGAAGGAGGAGGAGGAGATTGGACATACCCTGCCCTTCACTACCTGAAGGAGTCGCAGAGCGGCTTACAATCTCCTTTCCCTTCCCCTCCCCACAACAGACACCCTGTGAGGTAGGTGGGGCTGAGAGAGTTCTCTCGAGAACTGCCCTTGAGAGAACAGCTCCGAAAGAACTTATGACTGACTCACGGTCACTCCAGCAGCTGCATGTGGAGGAGTGGGGAATCAAACCCGGTTCTCCCAGATTAGAGTCCTCCCTCCTAACCACTACACCAAACAAGCTAGAGGTGCCCTACCATAGTTGGTCAGAGAAGGTTTAGGCATCTGATGTGACTCTCCGTTGGTCAATAAACTGTCCTCAACAGGAAGCAGGCAAATGACATTTAAAAAGAACTAACATCGTAGGCTGATGGCAAACATTATGTATTTGCTTTCTGTCCATCTTAATTTTGTCTGTGTTACTGGAGGGGCAAAAATCCTTCATTGGGGAGGCTATAGGGTGGGACAGGGGCGTGGCCACCCTATTTAATGTGCATTGAAGAGGTCAGAAAGGAGTTGAGGGGCTGTAAGAGGGGCTGTGGCTCAGTGGAAGAACCTCTACTTTGCCATGCAGAAGGTCCCAGGTTCAACCCACGGAATCTCTATTGTAAAAAGGACCAGATAGGAGGTGATGTGAAAGACCTCCAGCTGAGACCCTGGAGAGCAGCTGCCAATCTGAGTAAGCAATACTGACCTTGATGGACCAAGGGTCTGATTCAGTATAAGGCAGCTTCACATGTGCTCCCATAGTACTCTCATTCCACACAAGATGTAAAACTGAAATGTTCATTGCTTACAACAGACATACTTTGTGTAGCCTTTGTGGACTTAAATCCAAAAAGCTGGGAAACTTAAAAGCTGCATTTGATTCTATACCTAGAGAGTGTCTATGAGCCAAATGTCATGAGTCTTCCATCGTTTGCATACTTCTGTACTTAATTTGGCAATTATATAATAACCCTGCTGCTTGTGTTAGAACATAAGAACATAAGGGAAGCCAATGTTGGATCAGGCCAAAGGCCCATCCAGTCCAACACTCTGTCACACAGTGGCCAAAAATCCCAGGTGCCATCAGGAGGTCCACCAGTGGGGCCAGGACACTAGAAGCCCTCCCACTGTTGCCCCCGCCCAGAATACAGTGCATCCCTTGCCCCAGACCGAGAGCTCCTATCTATACCTTGTGGCTAATAGCCACTGATGGACCTCTGCTCCATATGTTTATCCAATTCCCTCTTGAAGCCGTCCATGCTTGTAGCCGCCAACACCTCCTGTGTTCCTTGGGGCCTTAAAGGGTAACTGACAAAGGACATCCCTTTGTCCAGGGGAGTGAGCAGGGTTGTTTGTTGGCTCCCCTCCCATTTAATTAGGGTTGCCAGCTCTGGGTTGGAAACACCTGGAGTTTTTCAGGGTGGAGCCTGAGAAAAGAGGGGTTAGGGGAGGGACCTCAGTGGGATATAATGCCACAGAGTCCACCCTCCAAAGCAGCCGTTTTCTCCAGGGGGACTGATCTTGGTCGTCTGGAGATCAACTGTAATAGTGGGAGGTCTCCAGGTGCTACCTGGAGGTTGGCAAGCCTGCATTTAATCTCTAAATAGTCTTGCAGGGGCCTTAGTTGCAATGAATTCCAATGCCCGTGTTCTGGTTACCAGTCAGATCCCATTGTTAACTCCATGCAGATGATACTGTCTTTATATCTAGGTCACCGGTGGGCCTGCATAGATTCCCAGCGGCATTTCAGAACTTTTGCAGGCTTGGTGATACATTGCAAAAAATCTTAAGTTGTGATCTTTTCGATACCTTCTCGGCCCAAGCAACTCTCCTGCAAGTTGAATAGTCAGCCAATTGAGCAAATGTCCCAGTTTCGTTACCTAGGTATTATATTTCCCAAGCTTCTCTCCTATGGAAAGCTCACAAAGGGCTTGCTCTGCTTTCAGTGTCCACAGCCCCTCTGCAGTTCTTTGTCACTTCTTCTCTCTCTGCTGAGGGTCAGGATGTCCCTGCAGCAATTCAAGTCTTTAGAGCGGAAGTGCTGTCTCAGCTTTTATATGGTGTGGCCGTTTGGATTGCTGGAGTGGATAGTTCTATTTCTTACGGTGGAATTGGGATTGTACTAAACTGCAGCAGTCCAGAAGGACATCTTCATATAGAAATAGGTCTGTACTCCGCTGCTGTGATTATTGATGGCATTCTGCATTATTGTAGGTATCTTCTGGCTTTTACTGCAGCGTCTTCTGCCTTGTAATCCTGCATTCTGCTTTGCTCATGTGATACCTTGCCCTAGGCCAGGGGTCCCAGATGTGGTGCCCTCCAACACTTTTTCTGCCTCCAAGTGTTTTTAGGAAATGGGCAGGGCCAGGTGGGGCTTTTGCCCAGCAAGGCTTCTGACTAGCCCCTGGAGATTTGATTATCTGTGCAGATTTTTTAAAATGACTGTGTAATGATTTCATGTCTTCGTGTGTGTGTTTCTTTAAATGTTTAGTGTGACTGCAGTAATGTAAGGAGAGGGAGATAAGTGTGATGTGATTGGCTGATGACTGAGAGTGTGGGAGGAGAGATGTCTCTGAGGGGATTCTGTGTTCTGGAAGAGACGAGTGTGGAGTTTTTGTGACAGTCTGTATGACAGAGGAAGCAGTTGGAGTTCAGCCTGTGTGGCTATATGACAGAGTTTAGCCTGTGTGGCTAAGAGAGAGAGAGAGTTTAGCCTCTGTGGCTATATATGAGATAAGCCTGTCAGAGTTGAGTTTTGGTGTTTGAGAGACTGTGTGTGACACCAAGCTTAGTCAGTTATATTTTCTTTTTTCAACAACAGTTCAAAAATACCCAGAAACCTGCTTGTCGCTTGGGCAAATTAATGAGGCAGGTGGGCTGTATTTCAACACTCTGCCTTTGGGATGAGGTTTAAAAAGTCTTTTATGGATTATTTGCAGGAAGCCACTCAGAATAAAGATGGAAGCTGGATATGAATTTTTGTGGCTGACGCAACAGATAAAATGGACCTCTAAATAGAACCTCCATGTTCTGGAGCAGTATACCTTGAAACACCAATTCCTGGGCAGCGACAACAGGGAGAGGCTTCAGTGTGGTGGGAACTGGGTTGCTTAGGGTTGCCAACCTCCAGGTAGAGGCTGAAGATCTCCCAGAGTTACAATTCATCTCCAGACTACAGAGAGCAGTTCTCTGGGAGAAAATGGCAGCCTTGGAGGGTCGACTCTGGCATTGTACCCAGCTGAGGTCCCTCCCCTCCCCAAAATCTGCCCTCCCCAGGCTCTACCCTCAAATCTCCGGGAATTTCCAAACTCAGAGGTGGCATCCCTGGGCTGGAATAGCCAGGGGATATTTGATTAAAAGGCCTTCTGGATCTGTGTTCATATGCTGCCCCTTGAAGAGGAGAATCAACAATGGTGGAGCAAACCCTGTTCCAAAGAATCTTCTCTGCTATTATGTTTTTCTGTGAAGAAGTGTCAGAGGCTGCCCTCTTGGGAGGAATAGGTATGGTTTGGTCTATCGCAGCAGAGGAACAAGGACTATTAAAAAAAAATCCAGCTTCCCAGTATGAAATCTTACTTTAAAATTTTAATTTTTAATTACAGAACAATATAAATGATCCTCTATTTCAGAACTCTCAAGACAGGGACAAAGTAAGAAAGAAACAAAAGAAGAGACAGAAAGTGACTTCCGAGTACAGGATGGAACGGTTCATCCATGGTCAAAGCAGGAGGCACTTCGATTATTTTTCTTCATGCCTGCTGGGCAATAGCAGACTGCCCAGCAAAGTGGCCAAGCCCAGAATAACCCCAACACCAATCATTCCCACTGCACTGGCCACGGTTTCTCTCACCTGCAACAGATGAAGAGGAGGAGGAGGAAATGGAAACATTAGGCTGTGTCTCCACCAACCTGGGGAAGTTGCTGAATTTCCATTCTGCCTAGGGATGCCAGTCTCCAGGTTTTGTTCCAGCTCCATTCCCATAGGCTATAATGGAAACTCGCTCTGGGGGGCTGTTTGTTTGCAGCATAGTTGCTGGTGCCTCTCCTCAAAAAAACCCCAAAGTTTCAAAAAGATTGGACAAGGGAGTCCAATTCCATGGGGCCCAGATTGTTTTCAATGGAGGGGGGAAATGTCTTGTGAGCTGAAGCAGAAATCCCCGCACTACCTGTTAACATTTTGTGCACCAGCACCCCCTAGCACAGCTTAGAAGGAACTATACAACATGCTAAATGGACATCCCTCAGGCCTATAGATTTTATTTATGTTATTTATAGTCCACCTTTCTCACTTGGATTCAAAGGAAGATTGCACAGAGTGAGTCAACACAATCGACAGGGTGAGACACTGAATAAACAATGCAATAGGATTAGGGTTGTAGAACCAATCAGAAGTCTTAAAACACTGAATAATGCAAAAATTCCATACCAGGATTCTAGTTTCAGCAAGCTATACACAGTAGTACAGACCGCAGCCCCTAGTAATTTATCCAAGGGGAATTTCACATTACCCAGTTTCACCCGGTTTCAAGCCGGTAATGATCCATTTTGAAGTGAACCGGTATAGGGCTGCCATTTCACACATGGCTTTCCCCTTCTGGTAAAGAGCTGGATCTGAAGCGGTTTGCCATTTCAGACTGCACCGCTTTTTCCCGCTTTCCCCCCACCATTTTTCACCCGTGCGGGCGATCTCCGGCTTTTTTTTTAATCGTTTGCTTTAGAGCGCTATAACAGTATAACAAAACACTCCATGCATTCCAATGGGACTTATATAATGCTATTCCGTTATCGCGTTATAGCGCTACAACGCTATAAAGCAAACGTTCCCGGGGGGAAAGCCGGAGATCACCCGCGCAGGCGAAAAACAGCGGGAAAAGGCGCATCGGAACCGGGAGAGGAAACTGAGGAGTACTTGGAAGCGGCTATAAAGCAAACGTTCCCAAAAAAAAGCCGGAGATCGCCCGCGCGGGCGAAAAACAGCGGGGAAAAGCGCATCGGAACCGGGAGAGGAAACTGAGGAGTACTTGGAAGCGGTTGACAGGTAAAACGCTTCAGCCCCGTTTCCTAAACGGGACAGAAGCAATTGTGTATGAAATGACAAATATATTCCGGAAGAGAACCGGTTCTCAAACAGTTCTGTCTGAAATGACAGACCAGAAACCGTTTGGGAACCGTTCCTCTTCCGGAATATATCGCCTGTCTGAAATTCCTCATTGTCACTTTGTGAATCATTCAGTACAGGGCAACTCTATTTTACCTGCATAGCAAAGCCCTGTCAAATAATCAGTTTTGCATGGTTTGGGGAAAGCCAGGAGAGCGGGAGCCTTCTTGACCTCAGGCCAATATAAACGCAACAGCCTAGTGGAGTTCATTAACATCCACTAGAGATATATTAATGCATGCTAAAAACTGAAGGGAGGTTAGGCAGAAGAACAGGTCTCCTTGAAGCCTCAGCCCGTGGTTAGAGCCCTAGGACATGCAAGCAACGTTTTGAATCGTATTCTCCTACACCACCCACCTTTTGAGAGAGATGGCCCAACTCAGTAGGCAGCAGAAGCAGTCCCCTCAGGACTCAAGCGCAGGCCACGCACCCACAGACCCAGGGGTCTCTGTCCACATACGTACCTGGTCGCTCCTAGCTGTGCCGTACCGCAGCCAGGTAGCGAAATGTTCACAGTTCTGGCTGGCCACTCGGTAGTTCACTTCCTTTCCCAACAGCGATTCTGCCTCCTGGACGATTTGGCCTGCAGGCAGCGGCTGGTATTTCCGATCATATTTGTTGTTGACCCGGCAGGCGTTGCTTCTAGCGATCTCCCACAAAAGTTCCTTCTTCACCACCGCCTTCTCGGACGGGATGGACATGATGCTGTTGACGCTGGCCTGGGCTAAGTCATCTTGGAATGACAAAGAGGGACATCACCAGCACATAGAAGCATGAGGACTAGGGTTCCCGTTGGCCCACTTATGGCGGGAGACCTCCAAGCAACTGCAGCTCTTGCCCACTGATGCTCAACCGATTAGCAGGCAGAAACGGGCCAAAAGGGGAGGTGCGATTGTCCAGGGGGGATATTTACAAAGAAAAAGAACACCTCGCCTACTTACTGGAAGTTCTGTCCACAGAGTTTCTGACAATTCCTAGAGCTACCCAGAAGTGACAAGGGTGGCTCTAGCGACTGCCAGGAACTCTATGGTAAGATTACCATAGTAAGATTACCATAGAGTTTCTGGCGATTGCTAGAGCTACCCTTGAAACTTCTGGGTAGCTCTAGGAATTGCCAGGGACTCTTTGGTCACAACTTCCTGTAAGTAGATGAGGCCTTATTTTTCTTTTTAAGTTTTTCTCCCAGGATGCTGCCCTCCCTCCACACAACTCTCCCACCAGTTGCCAGGTGCTGCACAACAGCTCTAATCAGGACACTGGAAACCCCTCATAAAATACCAATTTCTTTGTGGGGGTTTCACACAACAGAAGTAAACTATTTTCACAACTATAGCTTCTGAGTAGATGTACGTAGAAACCAGGGTTGCCTGTTCCCTCCTGGTAACCAGTGGGGGAGGAGAAACTTATTAGAAGCAGAAGGGAGGCCCATGCCATGTTGTGTGGAACCTGCAAGTTTCTAGCCCTTCTGAATCAAGGCAAAACCAGACAACCTGGTGTATTTGAAAAAAAAAGAATGAAAGATTGTTAAGGCATTCTCAGATTCAGTCCTTGTGATTTCCTAACCCATCTCATTTTTATAACGGCCTGGTTTGCAAGCCTAGATTCAGGAAAGTTATATCT